TATGATAATATTTTTTTCGTTTTTCAATACGTCTCATTTTTACATAATTTTATATGTCGTACCAAGCATTTTACTCACTCTCATCTTTGGTGCGTTTGTCTAAATTAAACTTTTAAAATAATATTTATTGCTCACATATTAAACTCAAAAGAAATAATTAACAAATTTTTTTATTGACAAATATATTTTTCTCTGACTAAATTCAAATAGAACATATTACTTTCAACGAAACTTTCTCCAAACTCATAATTACTAATTAAGAATAAAACAATCTCATTACTTTACATTATTGGTATGAGTAGTTATTTTCATCTCCTAAAATGGCAGACAATTCATTTTAAATTTGTCTTGTCAACTATATTATATATTGCCACTTGACCACTATAGATACTTACAATTAAATGAACGGCACATATTATTTATAAATAATTATATATAAAATCCAAACCTTCAACTTCCCTGCTATTAGGAAAAAATAAATGAAAATTCATCGGAGTTGTATTAATTATTACACAAGACTTTGAAAAAATGTGGATTGAATAATATGGTTAGAATTAGTCAAATAACATTAAAATCTACGTAAAATTAAAGTGTCATGTAAACTAAATCGAAATGATATATGTAAAGCAAAATGTAATTTCTCGTTTCATTTTTTTTTATACTTTCTTCTTTTTAGTTGGTCTAGTAAAAAGAATTAACACTCTTTCATATTTAAACCTTTTGTTTTACCTTCTATGAGATATTTTATAATATTCGAGGACTCACGGTTTATTTTTTAAGTATAAATTTTGATTATTTTTTTAAATGTTTAATATTCATTGAGCCTATAGAGTATAATCCCTCAACTTTGCTAATACAAAAACAAAATTTATTTATATTATATTTTATAAAATTATACCGAATACATTATCGTATCGTAAATAATTATAATTTGTGGAAGAAGTCTTTGATAAGGTAGGGCCTAGTATAGTGGCGGTCTCATGACTCATGAAGAAATCTTCCAGAATAAACAAATAAATAAATAAATAAACATGTCATCGCAAACGTCACATTATATTTCTTTTTGATAAATGTGATTGGTAATTTTATATAAAAAAATAATAATTGTTGTTTAATTAATTATTTATAGTTTAGCCTAATAAATAAATGTTAATTTGCTTTTGATCAAGTTGGACTAGATTTCTTACTTACCTAAGCAATGAGCTTTCCTTCTTTCTTAGTCTAAAATAACGTTGAGGAAGAGTTTATTGATCGAAAAATGATTGATATGAGTATGTCATATAATTTATGAAAATATTTTAAAATAATATATGTATTTATTTTTTAATATTTTTCACACATATAATTGAATTTGATATATATATATATATATATATATATTTTTTTTTAAATATATCTATCGTATTTGTTATTTGATTAGGGTATCCTTAGGTTCTCAAGGGGGCAGTACATGAATTGAGATTGAATTTGTATTATTATATTATTTTCATTTTTAATTAACAATTAAAAAGAAAACGTAGATATATTCAAGTACTGAAATAATTCATCTGCATAGGTGAAATTCATAATTTATATTTAGACATTAGAATATTGTATAAAAGTATAAGACGATATATATATATATATATATATATATATATTAATATTTAGCATTTATTATTAGTGCTAATAAATTGTCGTACTAATATTACTTTGCTTGGTGTTAAACTTTCTTAATTTGTTTAGGAAAACAAATTATTTACTTCCACAAATAAATAAAAGTTACCAAGTTCAGCTCCCCAACTTTGGTCCCAATAATTATTATGATAAATTGGAGGTTTGCGTGTACGTTTTTTCAAACGACATGTTTGTTATTGTTATGTACTCATACGAGTTTATCGATGTAAATAATTTTTATATTATCGAACATAAGGACAAAATTAATGTTAAGATAGTCGAGCTAAATTAAATTTAATAGAGTTAGTTTAAATTCTATTTATATTTAAAAATTATTAAATTTTACATAGTTCAACTTTAAAAAATTAAAATCTCAGAATTAATAAATTTCAAGTCCTAATTTTACTTCTGGCTGTCAGATTATTTTTACATATTCAAAATAAAGTATTAACATATTTTATATACAAAATTTCAAATCTCATATTTAAGGAAAAAAAACACACCTGTTGATATCAGTATATCAATCTTAAGCACAAATATGAGTTTAGCTTTTTATTTATTGTTGATAAGAAAATGTTTATAATTGCACAAAAGAGATAAGTTTTACTAAATAAGTCTTATATGATAAGTTCGATTATAAAAATACTTAGAAGATTTAAGACGCGAGACTCCTACTTAAGAAATTATTTACTCAATCAATTTAAAATTATAAAATTTGTATTTAACAAGTAATGTATTTTTAACATGAAAGTGATTTTTTCTCTATCAATAACCATTTAATTTATTAATATTATAAATTATAAAAATAATGAAAAAGTCACCAACTATACTAAGATTCAATTAATATTACTTGAATCAATCAAATACTTATCCTTTACTAAAGATTCCTCAAAGACTTTTTTGGTCATCCAAATATTATTTAATTTATATGATTACACAAACTACAATAATCGTTTATTTCCCATGTAGATTCCTAGAAATAGTCAAATTACATTTGTGTTAAGTTAATTAATTATATGAAAAAAAGGATCTGTCGATATTATTTTAAAATTAAAATTAAAATATATTTATCATCCGAACAATTTCTTCTATTTTCTAAACATTACTTAATTTAAAAATACAAATATAATTTTTCATTTTATATTGTGGCTGTGTTTCTAAGGCGTAGAAAAAATGTCCCCACATGGCATTTTCAAAGAATATCCATCTTTTTTGTCAAAAAAGTTGCCAAATAAATCATTTTTATTCCTAAATCTTATACTTTTTCACATTATTATGTGTAACATGATATAATTAAAATAAAACATTTTATTACTATTTCCATTTTAATTCTTTTGTCATACTTTAATTTAACATGAAATTTAATAAAGCAAAAAAAATATTTTATCACTTAGTTAAATTTCAATATAATTATGAAATATACAAATTTATATTAGTTAAATTTTAATATAATTATTAAATACTTATAAAAATATAAACTTATGTTAATTAAATTTCAATATAATTATCGAACACTCGATATCGACTAAAAATTAATACTTCACTCAAATGAATGGTGTTGGGCCACAAACGTAGGCAACAAAATCCACAATTTTCTCTTCTCTATATATACTTGTCTTTCTTCCTCAACGCCTCATATTCTCTTTCTTCCATTTCTATGTACTCGAGTTTTATCGGATCATCATTCCCTCTAATACCACTTTATTCTCCTAACAATTCCTTCAAGTTTTCATCTTTAACAATGGCCGCTTGTATTCACGCTTCAAGAACCAAAAATCCACCAAAAAACCCACTTTCTCGTGACCCAAACAAGCCACAAATCGATAACCATGTCTACAATTACGTCAAATACTGCCGACCCACTTTCCCTGACCTTGTTTCCTGCAAACCCTTTTCAGAAAAAAGCTCGAAAATCGAGGAATTGGGAGATGAGTTATGGCTGAAAATGAAAGAGGAAGCTAGGTCAGATATTGACCAAGAACCAATTTTGTCTAGTTATTACGTTTCTTCAATTCTAGCTCATGAATCCATGGAGAGAGCTTTAGCTAATCATCTTTCTATGAAATTGGGTAATCCTAATCTTCCTAGTACTACTTTGTTTGATTTATTTATTGGGGTGTTAACAGAAGAAACAGATATAATTAAATCTGTTAAAGCTGATTTAAGAGCTGTTAAAGAAAGGGACCCTGCTTGTATTAGTTACGTACACTGTTTCTTGAATTTTAAAGGGTTTTTAGCTTGTCAAGCTCATAGAATTGCACATAAATTATGGTCTAAAGGGAGGCAAATTCTTGCTCTGTTAATACAAAACAGAGTATCTGAAGTTTTTGCTGTTGATATTCATCCTGGTGCTAAAATTGGTAAAGGGATTTTACTTGATCATGCTACTGGTGTTGTTGTTGGTGAAACTGCTGTAATTGGGAACAATGTTTCGATTTTGCATAATGTAACATTAGGTGGCACTGGTAAAGCATGTGGGGATAGACACCCTAAGATTGGTGATGGTGTTTTGATTGGTGCTGGAACTTGTGTTCTTGGAAATGTTAGAATTGGAGATGGGGCTAAGATTGGGGCAGGGTCTGTTGTGTTGAAGGAAGTTCCGGCGAGGACAACCGCTGTTGGGAATCCGGCGAGGTTGCTAGGAGGGAAGGAGAATCCAAAGAGACTTGATAAGATACCTAGTTTCACTATGGATCATACTTCACATATATCAGAGTGGTCTGATTATGTAATATAAAGTTGACAGCTTTGAGTTTTGTTTACTATTGTTTTAAATTTATATTTGATTAGTTAAAAGCTACGTTGCTCGGACTCTCTTAAAATGCTGTTAGGACACGGACCGAGCATTTTTGAAGAATTTAAGCAACGTAGGTGAAAAGGTCTTCGGGAATTTTAGTTTTAGGGAGAATCCAAGTTCTCTTAAATGCAGAGATGTTGTAACATATACCTTTAATGGTAACTGGTTTATAGATTTAAGAGATTACTGTACTAGTTTACTTGATATAGCAAATAGTTCAGTGTTGGATGAATTATCATCATGTTGCTATATGTCTCATAGGAGTTATTGCTTAAGTTCAAATGAGGACAAGTTTTGTGAGTTCAATTGAACCTATTGCTTTCGACTCGAACTATGTGTACATATTATAAAATAATTGAAATGTATACATGTAACTTATTGTTACTTGGCAGTTGGCATCTATCTTTCTTTACTCTTTCCAGTGTTATAGTTGCAGAAATATGTATTTAACTTCTTCGTGCGTTATTTTGTCGTTTTCCTGAACTGTTAGTATTACTGCTGGAAATCCAATGAAAGGCTTATTGCAATATTTGTTGTCTTGAACTGCTTGATACATCACAATGTGCTTGCACCACCTGTGGCAGATTGAACAATAGGGTTCACAGGTTCTGCAGAACTAAAATGTATCGCTCACCGCTGATAAAATGTTCTGAAAGAGAGATAACAGCCATAAAGATCCAGTCTTGGATGCTGCAAAACATAGAACAGTATTTTTCTAGCTGTCACTTTCAATGAAAGAGCAGCATTGAAAAAGTTGAAACACCACTAGAACCAGAACGAACAAGTTTAAATTCTGGATTCGTCTATGAATGAACATACGTATGACAGCTTTGATATTGTTACGCATCAATGGAACGTCAAGATTGCCTTCTTTCTGAATTCTTAGAAGAAAATCAACTGCATTTGCTCTTGTTTTGGTGTAGGCTTTTACTCTCTATGCTCATTAATAACATGTTCAAGTATCGCATCAATTCGTTTATGAACTTTCTCAACCTTAGCTCTCATGTCACTGGTTTTTCTCAGTGATTTGATTGAAGGGTAACTATAAGCAGCGAAATTCCTGGTTTTACACATATTTACCCTGGGCGTAACTCTAAGTAGGCGTTTGGATATGAACGTGATCTGAACCCAAATGCTTACTTAGAGTTAGTGAGTTTAGAATGACGTGATCTTATCACTTCGAGTGGATAAGAAAGAGTTCAGTTGAACATACACGCAAATGCGCCTGTATGTTATAAGGCATCTTAAATCAGACACAATGATATTTTGGACCAAGAAATGTATACATCTCAACATTTTATTCAGAAAAAGCATCAGGTTAGATTTCTTGATTTTTTTACCATTTTACCATTTACATTAATTAATCTGGTTAATCCTTCTCAGATTAAAAAGAACAAGTTGTTATTTAGGAGAGTGACATTTAACCATACTGATAATTATTGGACATCTTTTCTTAATGATTTAGTGAATTGAACTCCAAGTTTTTGGTTATTACTTCACACTAATGCAATCAAGAACTAATTTGTGCATTTATATATATGGAATATTTAATAAAGATGTAAACAACTTAACATTGACAATAACAATGATAATGAAGATTAGTTTCTTCTTAGCATTTTCATTTTACATTTGTCTATGCAGGGGAAAAGATAGTGATAATCTCTATGATGTTTGTCCTACCGATGCAACGCGTAAGAACGTCTTCATAAACGGCTATCCATGCAAGAATCCAGCACAAATTACTGCTTCTGATTTCAAAAGCTCTGGTTTGAGCAAGGAAGGTGACACGGATAACTTTCAACGTTCATCGACAACATTAGTCACTGCTGCAGAATTTGCAGGACTCAACACTCTCGGGTTATCTGTTGCCAGGACTGACCTGGATGTAGATGGCGTGGTAATGTTTAATCTTATCTCGTCTAAATGTTTAAACTCCATATACCCCTCGTGCCTGCTACTGTACCATATTGTTTGAATTGTGTGATTGTCTAAACGTGTAAGCGGTTAGAAAGAGCACACTTTGTTCTTTAGTTACTTGCTGATATTGTGTCTATGCGCCCCTCTTACCTGCTCTGATACCATATTTGTTGAATTGTGTGAATCATTTCATTACAGCTTACGTTCTTTTGGCTGCTTATTATACTATGTTTCTGCAGATAATGCCACATGCTCATCCACGAGCTTCCGAGATGATGTTTGTTGGCAAAGGAGTGGTGATTGCTGGATTTATCGACACGAAAAGCCAAGTGTTCCAAAAGACTCTTAAACAAGGTGATGTGTTTATTGTCCCCAGAGGACTTCTACATTATAACTTGAATTCGGGGTTCGAATTAGCCACTGTGTACTCAGTGCTGAGCAGCCAGAATCCTGGTATGTTGAGTATATCAGATGCAATGTTTGCACCAGTTGTTTCGGAACCCATGAGAGACCTGATGAAGAAGTTGTTTTCGCGTTCAAACTTGGGAACAAACCAGATTAAAAATGTAACATCGTTTCGTTATTAAACTTCATTCATAACTTTGAGCATTTCCGTTTCTAATATAACTCGTGCCAAATATTTATGACATTCATCGCGAAATGTATATGTATATCTGTACTGTATATGACTACTGAATATTAACTTTTCTTGAACTTTCAATTGTTTCATTAGTTTAGGATCTTTTTATTTGTCTTAATACTGGATTTACTTTGACACCACGTGACCAATCAGATTCAGAATTTGAGGATCGCGGAGACATTATTATCTTAATGTAAACGATTATTGTATATTTTGTTGTTATTGTTATTTTCTTCTCCATTATCGTTTTCAACATGATTTCTTCATTACTGTATTTTCTATTCATATTTGATATGCTTTAATTGGGTCAGAGGTTTGTCGGAAACAATCTTTCTACTTTCACAAGATAGGATAATGTTATATAAACACGTGATATCTCTCTGGATCGTAATATCACTCTATCCAGACTCCATTTATGAGAGGCCCTTACTCGATATGTTGTTGATCGATAATGACCATACGATTAATAACTATATAAGCTAGTATCATAACTAATTTCGATAAAGATCATAAACAAACAGACTTCTAATCAACAATAATATAGTATACATCTTGGTAAAAAACACATCTTATATATTTATAATGTTTAGATCAACTTATATATTTATAGTGCGACTATGAAGTTCATTTAGGTATGTACTTGTCATCTACTATTTTTGTTTTTATTTTTGAAAAAAATATTATTCAAATTTTGAAGTTTATAATATAAAATATACACATACTTTAAGTTTACCACAGAACATATTAATGAATGCACATAATATTGTTAATTATATATTGGACAGAACCAGAGAAATAAGTGCCAATTTATTGGGATTATGATTTCTGGTTATTATTATTAATTAAAATTAAAACTAGCTAATTAAAGATATCACTTCCCAATATCCCATCGAAATTAATTTCTCATTTCCCCCCAAAAAAAAATTTTTTTTGGTACTAATTCTCATTCCCCAAATAAATTAAATAATCTTTTGATATTGGCGATAAATATTAAAAAGTAGAAATGATATTTTAATGAAGAAAAAGAGAAAATCATTCTACAGTATATACATTTTTATCCGTCTATTTTAATTGAGTTTTCATATTTTCTATCGTACATATTACTATTATATATATTCAAATTTCGATGAATTAACAATAAATCATCATATCATGTCTAGTTATCTCATTAAGAATTTTTTTTATCAATTATAATATTGTAATCTCAAATCTTTATCGAATTACAATATTTATCATATCATGTCTAATTATCTCGTTATGAATTTTTTTATCAAATTATAATATTGTGATCTCAAATCTTTATTGAATTATAATATTGTGATCTCAAATCAAGTTCAACTAGACATTTTAGCTTTTTTTTTTTTTTTTTTGCATATGGTCCTTGGTCATGATTTTATCTTTAGATAAAATGATAAAATAAGATTTAATTCATTTCTTGGTCGACACTCACATCCAATTGCTGACTTTTCCACTCCCACTAACAGGATTTGTTTACTTTATATTACTTTTTCTATTATATTTTTATTAAAAATTTTCATTTATTTATTTATTAGAATAATGATATGGTATAAGCTTAAATAATAAATTGATAATCTATATAATCGATCCCGATTAAGTGAGACTTAGGCATGTAGTTATTATTAATAATTTATTTATTTTTGTACTATTTGTACAAAATATGGGATTTAGAATTTTTGATTATGTCTTCTAGTCGAATATTAAAAAATGTAGTTTACTATAGTTTTAAATAAATTACTTAGGTATATTAAGTGATATTTTACCCACTAATATAAAGTCTTGGCAAAATTATGAATTTTTATTAAATTTAAAATTAGACTTTAGCTCCGCTTTTATTTGCATACGTCAACATTTTGTAGCAAATTATCACATATTAGTCTTGAATCTAATCTTGAGAACCCAAAGATTCTTAATAAACAAAATGTTTTTTTTTTTTTAAAAATGATTTGAAAAATATTTAAATTTTGATCGAAATTACTGTAATGTTATTAAATTTTTGAAAGGGTTTTTTACCCCATATATTATACAATAATGTAATTTAAAAGTATATATGTGTTCACTTGGACATTAAAAATATTGTATAATTATAAATAGTAATGTGTTCAGGTAGATACATATATACATTTAAAATACATTATTATATAGTGCAGTCGTGCAGAGGGTAAAAAATCTTTCGTAAAGTTTGATATCATAATAATAATATTTCAATCAAAATCAAAATATTTTTTAAATTCTTTTTTATGATGGTGATACGTATAGACTTTTATTTATTGGGTGCATCGTCATATTTGCACTAAGCCAATTATTTCATTTCCATTTGTTGAATAATCTGTGACATACTCACGAGTTTGATATTTTAAAATTTGATTTAAATAATAGTATTTGATAACTAAAAATAAATATTAAATATAGATTTTTCATACTTAAATCTAATCTAGTCAACCATCGTGGGCTTGTTTTTTCATGATTTACTTGATCATCAAGAGAGATAATATTAGTTTGAGTTTAAAATTCATTGATAAATTAAATTGTATGAGAAATGAAATTAAATAATATATGAGAAATGAAATTAAATCAATAAGAATTATGGTAATGATCTAAGTGTTTATTCATTCTTAATCAGATGTTTTTAGTTTGAGTTTGAATTTAAGTTCAAATGAATAAAAAATTATTTTTATTAAAACGTAAAAATTCTTGATTCAAATGAAAAACTAAAAAATAAAATTAAAAATATTCCATTGGGCAGATTCCTCCTTGATTAATTCATTTGTGGGATTACATTGCACCTGGAATTTTTCTAAACTTTATTTTATTGTTTTTCAGTCCCAAGCTATATAATCTTAATTTAATTAATAATATATTTAAATTATATAGATGTTGTGTACAGAATTTTTAAATTATTAAGTCGTGATCGCTTAATGATTCATATGCTCTCTATTTCAAAATTTAGTTATTATGTATATTCAAACATCTTTTAATTATAAAAACAAATAGAATTATAAGTTGTAACTTATTGCCCATAAAATTATTTGAAAAATCATATATTTTATAAATTTCTGACTATATCACAAAACTTCTATATATATTTTGTATGAACTTAATAATAAATCATACTAGTTCATATACTATTTTTATAAACTTTTTAAATTTATGGGTCGAGTCATTTTGAACATAAAGTCAATTTTCTTAAATCGCATTTTATCTCAATGTATAATTTTAACGAACGAAAAAAAAGTAAGTAGAAACCTCATCTTCCATTAACTCGAAGATAAAAAGAAACAAGAGAAGAAAAGTTGTGGCTACAAGCCTACACTACTATATTGCTGGTCCTTCTTGAAAGTAATCAAGTCGTATCCGTAACGGAACTAGAATTATCATTAAAATATTTAAAATATAAATAATTTTTTTTATAATAAAGTCGACAAAATTTGATATTAATTCTATATATAAAAATTGTTTTTCATCTAAAGAAAATTCAGATAAACTCTTTATCACTATAATAAAAATAATCATTAGTGACATTTAGTTCTTAATTGCCTCTAAATATATATTTTTAGCGGCAATTGTCACTCTTTATATATGTTCCTAAAACCTTTAGCGATGTTGGTTCTAATGACACTTTCGGTAAAAACTTTAGCACTCTTTATTAGTATCAATATTTAATACCGTTAAAAGTTATTTTTATTATAGTATATTAGATTCCATCTGCATTACGATAAAAAAAATATTAATTAATCTTTAAAAAATGTAGAAGCAAAAACAAAAAGTAAAAAAAGGAAAGGAGCACGAGATTATCTTTTAAAAAGAAGAAGAAGAAATTTAGTTATGGTCCTGTTGGATAGCAATATCAGAATCTATCGATAATCGAAATGAAATAGATAAAAATATATTTTATATATAACTTTAATATTTTAATATAAATATATTTCAAATTTAATTAATATTGGATAAAATAAATCTATATTTTATCTTAAAATAATTATCTCTTTTGACCAAATAAAAAAAGTGTATCCACATAAAATACTATGCTTTACTGCTTCAATATTGGCGTACGTGCAACTCCCCAAAATACATTATTAATAAATAATAATTGCAATGAGCACTTCCATTTAGGTGGAAGTTTGTTTTCAATTTTATTTTTTTTTTAAAAAAGATGCAATTTTTTAATTTATTTGTTGCAAAAAAAATATTTTTTCCCCAACCAAAAGGAATTTTTTTTTAAAACATAAATTAAGAAAAAAAATTGAATCGTTGATAAGAACAAAGGGACATAGTTATCATAGTTTGAATGGATTTATCACTCATCGGAGCGATTCACACTTAATTAAAGATTTTAAGTTTGAATTTAAAGTGTCACCTTGAATGAACCTTACAATGTATGAACTAAACTAAATTTAATTGGGATTTCAATAAGCATTTTAAATATCTGGTAAAAAATAAATAAATTTTTATTATTTGAGATAATTTCATAAAAATTATAAATTGGTATGACCTGCATCTTGTTTCTAAACAAGTAGGAATATTTTAACATAAACCCCTTGACAAATATGGAAAAACTATGATGAAAGGGATATAGATGGATATTTATATAATTTTTATTCTTAATCGGGGATTTTAAATATGTATAAATTTAAAATTTTATTTATAAGTATTATTAATCAGTTTCAATAATAATATCAAATTAACATATAGTAATATACAAAAAAATTTCATCTTTATTCAATTTTGATTCAAAATCCGTTGAAAATAAACTTTTTTTTGTAAAGATACGAATACGATCTATATACATTCTAACCTTGTCGAATTCAATTTATGAAATCAAATAAGTATATTATTGTTTATTGTCTGTACAAAAGTTAAAATATTCACACGATATGTGTTACATTCATCACAACTCTCAAATTCGAGTCCTAATAATCACATCAACACAAAATATAAATCTATATTAATCGAGTCGATAACCTCTTCCTCAAAAGATTACTATCTATATACATCCTAACATACTCAGACTCAACTTATAAAATTAATACTCATACGATATATGCTACATCGAATATAAATCCAAATT